ACTCAGTATAAGCCCTGTAAGACATAAAATTGAATGAGTTTTTAACCCTCAAAAGAGATCTCCATTTCATTCTAAAATATACCATTTCTTACAGAAAGACTCATTGCTTTTGCCACTAACACTGAGATGTTGGAGCATGCATCTCTAATATGTATGTATCTGGTTATTACTATTCATAATCGTTTGCACTGGGCTCCTTGGCACCTGAGTATGTCTGTCTATAAAGTCATTGGGTAGATATCAATGGTAATATTCATCACCTCTACTAATTAACATGATGTAAACTTTTATGCTTCCTCCTCAAATATGACACACTTTTAAAATTTTCTTGATTTTTTTTCTGTGTGTGCATATCACATAGAACATCCCAAACCATCTTATTCAACTATATACCCACTTCCCAGATGGCACCCTCCCATAGCCTCCCTCCCCCCACTAGAGCCCTTATACTCTGATATCCCTGCTACTGTTTGCTGTGTTGTTGGCACCCCCAACCATTCCCCACTACTTGCCCATCTGGTTAATCTAGCCTAGTCAGCCTATATAGAGGTCTTTGTTTTAGGAATGTCAACTGTTCCCCATCTAGCAGCAATCTGTTGTCAATATTCCTTTATATAAGATTGGGGTCTGTTTATTTTCCCAGTTCTATGCTGGGTTACTATCTGGGAGTCTCTTGGGCCACCCTGGCCAACAACACAAAAGAAGGTATCTCCTATTGGGCATTGTTGCTTGTTATGTAGCCTTCAGCTATACATATGGACTCTTAAAAAATTATATTGGTCCCTTTAATCTTTGGTTATACTTTCCTTTTGGGTGTTTAAGGCCATATACTTGGCCAAGATAAACCAATTTATTTTTACTTTTAAGGTCGTTTGAGGATCTGTTCCTCAGGGGTCACATGGGCTTGGGAAGAGCCCCTGGCTCCTTTCTTTTACCAATTCTGCTATGTGAAGATGAGTCAAAGGTCCTGCTTGACCATGGCTGGTTTCTCTTGGAAGCATGGAGGAAATATTTTGTCTGTATTGACCCTCCTCTTTGTAGACTGGATACTGGTTCAAGTTCATCTCGTGGGGTCTCCTTGGCCTCCTTGATCAAGAGGACAGGTGACCCACCACAATTACAGGACATTGTGGGAGATGCTCATAGTCCCCTGGAATGAGTCAACCTAGGAGGGCAAGGAGCAAAAACTGTCCTTTATGTCCCCCTGGCCAAACTAGTATAGGCCTCAAAGTATGCCTGTTAAACATCCAAGATTAGTTCCACCAGTCTGGTACTTTTAATTACTGTGCGCTATGTAAATGAATCTTGCGCAAAGACCAACTGTTCTCAGATAAACCTAGACATATATTTCTAGATCTGGTATATATAACTTATCAGGAGATTGTTGGACTAATATGGTTCCCTCTGCTTTTTAAAACTAGCTAAGCATTATTTACTTCTTGCATTGTTTAACCCCTCCATCATGGTTTCCCCAATTAAGGTGCCCCCATTTTCCCTCTTTCTCCCTTAATAATACCCTGCTCCTATGGTCCTATCTCTCCTGAGCGCCTTCTTTACCCTTATCCCCTAGGTTACTTGTCTACCTTAACCTCCCCCCTCCCTTAAACTATTCCAATTTTTATCCATATCTCCCTTATTAAGGCCTGTTTCCTACTGTTCTTCTCTTTCAGGTTCTTTCTTTTCCTTTACCTCCCTGG